GGGTGGGGGGATGGATTAGCCTGGTGATGGGTATTAAAGAGGGCACATTCTGCGTGGAGCACTGGGTGTTATGCGCAAACAATGAATCATGGAACACTACATCAAAAACTAATGATGTAATGTATGGTGATTAACATAACAATAAAAAAATTATTTAAAAAAAAAAGCTTTCAGTTTTTTACTTTTGAGTATAATGCAAGCTGTGGGTTTGTCACATATGGCCTTTATTATGTTGAGATATGTTCCTTCTATATCCACTTTGTTGAGAGTTTTTATCATACATGCATGTTCAATTTTGTTAAATGCCTTCTTAATCTATTGAAATAATTGTATTATTTTTATCCTGTGTACTGTTAATGTACATTGATTTATGGATATCAAAGCATCCTTGCATCCCTGGAATAAATACCATGTGATTATGATGTATGATTCTTTTACTATATTTCTGAATTTGATTTAATAATATTTTATTGAGGATTTTTGCATCTATGTTCATCAGGGATGTTGGCCTTTTTTTGTTGTTGTTTTGTTGTTTTTTCTTTTGTTTGATGTCTTTGTCTGGTTTTGGTATTAGGGTAATGGCCTTGTAAAATGAGTTTGGAAGTACCCTTTCTTCCTCAATATTTTGAAATGATTTGAGAAGGATAGGTACCAACTCTTCTTTAAATGTTTTGTAAAATTCACCTATTAAGCTGTCTGGTTCTGGATTGTTTTTTGGGAAGTTTTTAAATTACCAATTCAATTTCATTACTTATAATCAGTCTATTCAGATTTTCTATTTCTTTGTGATTTAGTCTTAGAAGGTCTTATATTTCTAGCAATTTATCCATTTCTTCTGTTTTCCAATTTGTTGGCATAGTAGTCATCCTCTCTTTTGATCCCTTGTATTTCTGTGGTGTCAGTTGTAACTACTCCTTTTTCATGTCTGATGTTATTTTTTGGAGTCCTCTTTTTTTCTTGATGAGTCTGACTACTTTTATTGAACATTACTTTGTCCTTCTC